TGATCTGGGTTACACCTTTGTCTCCCTGCAGAGCAGCCAGAGGAGGACAATCCTGGAAATGCTGCTGGGCTTCTTGGAGCTGCAGCAGAAATGGGGACATGTGGAAGAAGGTGAGGCTGGCTGGTCCGTTTGGGGGCATCTGTGTCCCTGGGGGCTGCTGGCTCTGACCTCACCTTCCCAGATGCTGGTAGAGAAGGAAGGGTCACCGACCTGACTGCATGTGCAACCTCTGCCATGTCCCGGGGACCCTGCATGGTTGGGTGTCAGCTGGCAGGTCCCCAGAAAGGGTCTGTCAGGTGCTGTGGTGGTGGCTGTGCAGTGGCAGCCAGGTGCAGGCAGTGACTCCATATCTCTCCTTCTCTCTCTAGAGGAGAGCACTCTGCTGTCACTCCAGGCCCCTGTTTGCTCTGTGGTGTTCTCAGCACTGACGGACCCCAGTGTGCAGCTGCAGCTGGTTGGGATCAGGGCACTGACTGTCCTGGGCTCTCTGCAAGGTTGGTGCCTTGTTTCCCTTGCGGAGGCAGAGGGAGGTGTCACCCTGTGCTGGGACACGTGGTGCTGCGTGGCTGCTGGGATGTCCTTGCCTGCTGTACAAGAGCAGTGGCAGCACTTTCTACCCAGGCCATGAGCTCCAGGGTCACTTGGTCTCTCTCTTGCCTGTTTGTGCTGGGCACCTTGTACCTCTGAAACCTGGCATATTGCTGCTAACCTGGCCAAGGGGCAGTGATGCTGGTCAGAACACAAGCATCTTTTCCTTTGGCTGAAGGCAGGATTCCTCTTGTTCCAGGCTTCCTGTCTCCCTCCGACCTGGAGCTGGTTGTGGATCACCTCATTCGTCTTGCTCTGTGTGAGGAGGATTCCCAGAGCAGGTGAGGGGTGGGCTGGCACCACGGCAGTCACCCATGCTCTGGGGAGAGGAACAAAGCCTGGGGAAGGCACAGGAACTGTCTGAACTAAAAAAACATGTTGGGTGTAAGAGCAAAGGGATAAACCAGGTGATTTATGGGCTGGAAATTAAAAAGTCTGAGCCTGTCAAAGCAAGGAGTTCTGTTCTACCTGCCAGTAGGGCAGGAAAAGGCAGATTGCTGAGAAATGGGTTTCTGGATGCACCTTCTGGCCCAGATCTGTGCAGCTGGTGTACAAGCAGTACTCACATCACCCCTCTTAACTCCCTTCCCCCTGGCAGTGAAGCAGCAATGGAGGCAATAGGATCTCTGGCCCCCATCTACCCAAAGGTTTTCTCTGGACGCATGGTACCCAGGCTTGAAGAGGAGCTGCAGTCAGGTAGGGCTTGGGAAGGAAACCTGTCCCATCCCAATTCAGCTCCTGCCAGGCAGTGGGGCTGTGCTGTATGGCATAGGTTGGTGGCTCTCCTTGGGGGATTCTCAGCACAGGGACTGTGGTGCCTGGTGCTGACAACCAGCCTGTGCAGGTGGGATCACCCTTGTGGGGAGGAGCTGCCCAGCCCCAGAGCAGGCAGAGTGCCTTGACTAGCTCTGTGTGCTGCTTCACCCCGTACACACTTGCAGGGTCTGGGCCTTGGGTGAGGGGGTCTGGCGTCACCCCCCTGACTGTGTTTCCTCTTCAGAGTGCGAGGAGGAGAGCTCCCGTGACCGTTGCTCTGTGCGGCAGCGCTGCCTGCAGGCCCTGGCTGCTGTGTCCACACACACCAGCATCGTGAGGGAGACTGTCCCTGTCCTGCTGCAGCACCTCCGGAAGGTGCAGAGAGGTAACACAGGCGCAGTGGACAGCTCCAGAGCTGCCTCTGTTACTGGTGATGGCTGGGAGAGGGGGAATGGCAGCGGTGCTGGGTGTGAATCCCATTGGAGGAGGGAGGGCTGCATTGCCACGGCATCCCGGCGCGGAGCAGGGCTGTTTGATGGGACAGTGCCTGTGTCCCGCAGGGAGCGAGGCCGGGAGCGCACAAGACATCATCTCCGTGTGCCAGAGCCTGCACCGCGTGGCAGTGCAGTGCCAGCAGGACGCCGGGAGCTGCTGGTTCTACCACCAGACGGTGGTGCCCTGCCTGCTGGCCATGGCCGTGCAGGCTGCCATGCAAGGTAGGAGCGGGCCGGGAGCAGGCGGCTGCTGCTGCCGCCCTCCGGCAGCTGCGGGCACTGCGGGCTGCGGTTGGGAGCTGTTCCTGGCGCTGTTCCTGACCCTGCTTTCTGACCGCTGCCTGCAGAGAGCACCCACCCGCCGCTGGGCAAGGTACTGCTGCAGGAAGAGGTGCTGGCTGCCATGGTCCCAGTCATCAGCGCTGCCACCACTCACCTGAGCCCTGAGTGAGTGACGCTGGGTGGGAAGCTGGATACTCCATCGTGGGGAGGAGGCAGGCTGTGTCCCCTTCTGTCTGTGCAGGGAGACCCTGTGCCTCCTAGGAGGTACATGGGAACTCTGGAAACCCTCCCAGAGCAGCACACTGCAATGTCTCCTTTCTCCTAGGCTGGCTGCCCAGAGCGTGTCTCACGTGGTGCCCCTCTTCTTGAATGGAGAGGTCTCTTTCCTGCCCCAGAACAGTTTTCCCTGCTCCTTCCAGCCCTTCCAGGTGTGTCGGGTGCTTGTGGCTGGAGTGCTGGAACAGGGGCAGGGAATGAAGATACCAGCACAGGTTGGCAGCAGGGACCCTGATGACATGGGCATTGCTCTTCCCTTGCAGGATGGAGAGTGCTTGGAGGCACAGAGACGCCTGGTCGCCCTCCTCATGGCCTTTGTCTGCTCCTTGCCCCGCAATGTAAGTTGGCAGGAACAGGGTGAAGAGGGACTTGGCCGAGTGTCCTCCTGCCTTGGGACCACAGCAAGCTCTACAGGCAGAAGAAGGGAAGAGCTGCAGCTCCAGGCTGTAACACACTCCGTTTCATTTCCAGGTGGCAATTCCTCAGCAGGAATGGCTGCTCCGGGAACTGCTGGCGCTGAGCTGCTCCTGCAACTGCCCCTTCACTGCCACCACAGCTGCCAAGTGCTTTGCGGGGCTAGTGAACAAGCACCCTGCAGGTAAGGAGCTAGGGAGGATGCCATGGGTCCCTGCCCACCACTGGTAGTATAGTAGCTCAGCCTGTCCCTTCCGTGTCCCCAGGGCAGCAGCTGGATGAGATCCTGCAGCTTGCAGTGAACAGGATAGAGCCTGGCCTGGTGGAGGGGCTGCACCGGACGCAGGCTCTCACCCTGCTGCTGTGGGTAAGGCCTGCCCTGTGTGAAGAGGGGCAGAGATGTGGGATGGGGGAATGAGGGGCCGGCCTGGTGCTGAATCTGCTCTGCCTGCATAGGTGACCAAAGCCCTGGTGCTGCGCTACCACCCCCTGAGCTCCCACCTGACAGATAAGGTAGGCAGCGGTGGGGCTGGGTGCTGCCCAGGAGTCTGCCTGCTCCCCATGGGGCTGGCTGGGACCCCCAGCAGCAGGACCACCTCTCAGGGCTCTCTCCCTCGCAGTTGCTGGGCCTGCTGAGCGACACAGAGCTGGGCCCTGCTGCAGCCGATGGCTTCTCCCTGCTGATGGCCGAGTCCCCGGATGTGCTGCACAAGGGCTGCCACGCAGACGTGCGCATCATGTTCCGACAGCGCTTCTTCACTGACAACGTCCCCAAGCTGGTGCAGGGCTTCCACGGGGCTGGCCCCGGTGAGCGGCCACCCCCAGCCCGGCCTGTGACCCCAGGGGACTGGAGCTGGCGTCCCCTTCTTCCCCTGGCTGCCTGTAACCGTCTCTGCTCTCCACAGACGTGAAGGCCAATTACCTGAAGGGCCTGTCCCATGTGCTCAACCATCTCCCTAAGCCTGTGCTGGTGACAGAGCTGCCCATGGTGAGAGGTAGCAGCAGGTACTGTGGCAGCACACAGTGCATGGCTGGGAGTCACTCATCTCTTCTGTGTTCTCTCCCCCTGCAGCTGCTTTCCCTCCTCCTCGAGGCCTTATCCTGCTCAGACCGTGTGGTGCAGCTTTCTACACTGAGCTGCCTCCAGCCACTGCTGCTTGAAGCTCCCCAGATCATGAGCCTGCATGTTGACACACTGGTCACTAAATTCCTCAGCCTCACCTCCAGCCCCACCATGGTATGTGGTCCTTCTCCTTCCCCCTGATGCCCCTCTCCTCTGCCCCTTTCACTGCCCTCACCCCTGTTTGTTCTAGGCTGTCCGCATCGCCGCCCTGCGCTGTGCCCATGCGCTTACCAGCCTGCCCACAATAGTGGTAAGTGCTCCTGCAGCAGTGTGGTGCCTGCTCCTGAATGTAGAGGGGCAAGGGGGTCCCAAATCTCTGCCCAGAGGGCAGCCAGCACCTAGCTCTCTCATTAAGAGCCCTTTCTGTCCTACAGCTGCTCCCATACAAGGCTCGAGTTATCCGGGCACTGGCCAAGCCTTTGGATGACAAGAAGAGGCTGGTGCGGAAGGAGGCAGTGGCAGCACGGGGGGAATGGTGAGTGCATGTGGCTGGAGCTGCTGGGACACTGGCATGTTTGAGACATGGCTGATGGCACTGTCTCTGTCCCTGCAGGTTCCTGCTGGGCAGCCCAGGCAGGTGAATGCCCTGAATCCCCTCCCTGTGCTGATCGACGATCTGACCAGCCCCCTGATACCCCACCATACCATGGACCCTTGGAGCCCAGTTACTGCCCCATGGGCCAGGGCTGGAGCCTGGAAGCCGGCAGGCAGGACCCTCACTGCGACACCTTCTCAGCACGCCCAGCGGGCAAGGAGCTGTGCCACTTGTGACTTACCCACCTTCTGCTGCAGCATGGACAGTGACAGACAGACTGGCCATGTGTGAGTGGAGAGGGCAGGCCTGTGCACACGTGTGCGGTGTGTGGCAGCCCACACACCAGAGGAATAAATATCTCCATTTTGGTAATGCTGTGGGGGGTTCCCATGCAGCCTAGGCTGGCACCTCAGTGCTCTTCTATGGGGTAAAGGTGCTGCTTTTTCCACACTGGGGAACTGGAGGGAGGAGGGGTCCTTCTCTTCCCTTATCCCCAGAATTCTGTGCCTCCCACCAGGGAAGAGAGCCAGGCTTCCTTTAAAAATCCAGTATTTATTGAATGGTCTTAAAAAGACTCCTGGGGAGTGCTCAGGACCAGGGGTGCATCCTCCATGCCCAGCCCTGCCAGAGAGCTGAGCTCTGTCGTGTGCTGGCCTGTACCTGTGCTCTGAGGGCAGCTCCCTCAGCTGGAGCAGGCAGCAGCAGCCCTGCCGCCTTTCCCGGGCTGCCTGCAGCCTCCAGGGAGGCCCGAGAGCAGCGTCTTTGCACCAGCATTGTCCAGTGTTTGCTGTGGCTCCTTTGAGCAATGTGTGCTAGCACCCACCTTCCACCTGGTGCTCGGATCCAAGGGAGCTGCAGTGGCTGAGCGGGTCCCCTGTATGCTCCCCTGCCTGCGGGGAGGGACATCCACAGCACCCAGGCCTCAGATGGACAGGAGCGGAGCACGCTGCTTGGCCACACAGGGAGGCAGGTCCCAGCTCAGGCCTGTCCCGTGGGGCAGGTGAGGAGAGGGCAGCAGGACACGGGTGAGCCAGTGCCTGTCAGGAGAAGAGACCAAAACAAGTGTTGGTGCTTCTCAGCTCTGCAAAGCCAAGCCAGGGCTGTGAGCCCTGGCCCTGAGTTGCAGTGCTGACTGAGCTCCTCAGCCACAACTCCCTGGGCAAAATGGTGCTGGGTACACCAGAGCTTGCCAAGGGGCAGGAGTGAGGAGCCATAGGGCAGCTGATGCCCAGGTCCTCCATGCTTTGCACAGCCCAGAGCAGCACACAGCATGGGATGTTCACTGTCCTGCTCTGCCCAAGCAGAGCCCTGGTGTCCCGGTACCCCCACATGATGCTGAGCCACCACCCTCCCAGGCAGGGACTTCCCTGTATCTTTACCTTGGCACGTCCACACCCAGAAACACCTTCCAGTTATCCCAGCTGCCATAACTGTAGGGGTTCCTGAAGAGCTGCAGGCCAAGGAGTCACACATCAGGTCTGGCTGCGGCCTGGCCACCCCCCTGCTCTGCAGGCTGTGCTCACCTTGCCCTTTTTCTGCAGCCTCTGCCTCTCCTTCTTGTTGATGTGCCGCTCGATGCTGGTTTCCCCACGGGTGATGAGAGCAGCGTGCCACAGCGTCAGGGCACCCAAGGCCAACGCCACTGAGCTGGGGATGGCAAGGGACAGCGGGCTGCACACAAGCTTCCCCTCCCTGGTGCCACAGGGCTGAGGCTGCCTCCCTGCACCCACAACTGCATAAGTGGGTCAGCACATCTACACCCCTGTGGGAGAGCCAAAATCCCTCCTTCTCAGTGGCCCAAGAGCTGGCAGGGCAAGGAGGTTGGTGCAAGAGCTCCAGGGAGGCAGAGGGTGAGCAGTGTCATGGGGCAGGGGGCTGCACGCTGCTTCCCCCCACACTTTGCCCAGGGGCCCCTTACCTGCATAGGACCCAGACATAGACCACGCTCTTGTGGAAAGCTCGCTGGCGGAAGGAGAAGGTGGGTGGTGGGGTCTGGTAGTATGTCTGAAAAAGGATCAGAGAGAGAGGAGCTACCCAGACTGCTTTGCAGCTTGAAGCCAGATGGGAACTGCACCACCCCTCCCGGACACAGAGCTTGGCCAGCTGGAACCAAACACAACAGCCAGGGTGATGGGGAGGCAGCCCGAGACAGGCATGAGACACATGAAAGCTGGCACACCAGTGAGAAGCAGGGGGCTGGAGGTAAAGGGCAGGGACACCACACCAGATGCTCAGGGTGAGATGTATGCACTACTGCAGCTTCCCCAGGGCAGCAGGGCCTGAGCAGTGCATGCCAAGCAGCTGCCACCAGTCAAAGCCCCCGGGAGCTGGGTGCACAGGGAAGCAGAGCTCAAGCTGCTGGAGGCAGTGCCTGTAGCAGAGCTGCCCGACCAGCCCCAGCTCTCTGACACACGAGGTAAGCTCAGGGGCTGGTTCTGGCTGCAGGGTGCTCACTCAGAGCAGGGCCCCAAGCAGGACCCAACCAGCAGGGCAGCTCTGCTCCATGCTGTTTGCAGCATCTGTGGGGCTGGGATGTCCCACCTGGTTGACAGCCACCTGCAGTCTCTCCTTCTCAAGCAGTTTCATTCTCTAGGGGGTGGAAAACAGGACACCCGTTACGTGTCTCAGAGGAGGGGCCTTTCCCCCTCACCCGCCACAGGACCAGGGCAGCTGGGGGCCTCACAGGAGGAAGGAGAGAGGAAACAACACGGCCAGGCCTGGCCAGCCCTGTGCTGCAAGCTCAGCCTGGGCAGCCCCGGTGCATGGCAGGGTGAGGGCTGGGGGCTGCTGGCTCACCTCAATGGCTGCATAGGCATCCCGGAACATCCCCCAGCCACTGATGCTGCAGTAGATGCAGCCCATGGTCATGAACAGGCAAAAGGAGAAGAAGTAGCGGTGGTTGTAGTGTCCCACACAGTTGTTCAGCCAGGCTGCCTCTGGCATTAAGGGTATGTAACTGTGACATGGGTCCAAATCCACCCCAGGGACCAGGGTCGTTCTGGGCCCAGCCCCCAGCATCCTTCCCTGTGCTGGCTGACTCAGGAGAGGTGCAGGACAGGGAGAGAAGGGGGAAGCAGGGTCAGCTCCCCTAGGAGAGTGCCATGGGTTAGTACTGTGAAAGGATACGGCAGTGGTGGTCCATCTTCAGCACACACCTGGGAGGGAGGAGAGTAGCACCAGTGTCAGCACAAGCACTGTGTTTGGGAAGGGCCAGGCAGCACCCAGCCCTGCAGGCTGTGTGAGAGATGAGGCAAGAAGCCAGCAGAGCAGAGGGGAGGGGGCCCCCATCTCTCAGTGTGGCAGGGGGAAGGAGAGGGGTCCCAGAGGCTGCCCTGAGTGCTGTGTTGGGCCCTACCTGTTGCAGATGCTGCAGTGGTGGGTGCGAGCAGGCTTGGGAGCAATGCATTTCCTGCAGATGGAGACGCCGGTGAGATCATCCTTGGCCTGTGCACAGGTCAGAAGAGATTTGTGCACCCAAGCCCTGCAACCATCCCATTTTCCCTGCTCTTCACCTCCCCTGTGACCGCACCACCACCTCCTCACCCAGCCTGGCTGCTCCTATCCGTATGCAGCCTGCAACAACACCAGGCTGGTTTAGCTGTTCCCAGTGAATGTCTGTAGCTGTGCCCAACCAGGAGAGGCTGCACTGCTGGCTGGTGTCTCACCTGCGGTGGATGCCCAGGTGAGGTGGTGATGGCCATGTAGTAGTGGAAGATGATCATGATGAGGTTCCAGTGTCCATAGGCGAGGTGCCAGCAGATCCAGGCAGGGGTGTAGGTCTGCAGGATGAGGGGCAGGAGGCAGATGTACACGATGGCCACGACGGAGCTCGTCAGCCCGATCACCAGTGCCACAAACACCTGTGTGAATGGGGCCTGTTGTCACCACAGTGTGCAGTGTCTGTTCCCTGCTGCCATGGGGAGAGGCACCGGCAGGATGCAGCCACAGGAAACCAATCAAAACAACACACTGAGGTCCCACTTCCTTCCTGCCTAGGGCACAGGCAGCCCTGAGGCCCAGATGCCCCAGCATCACGCTCATCCCAGTCCCCAGAGCCCGGTGAGGGTACTCACCACGCCGAACCACCGGGTGACATGGTCCACCAGCCAGTAGATGGGCTCAAAGAGGGAGTCAAGCACCACATCGCCATTGGTGAAGGAGTTGTAGAGCAGGGAGCGGAGGCAGAGGTGCCCGTAGCGCCAGAGCTGCTCCGCCTGCCGCACCAGCGTGCACCGCCGCCGCCGGCCCAGCCGCAGGCACCGGAGCAGGAGGCGCATTGCCGCTGCAAACACGCGCTGCCGGCTCCTCATCCCTGCCGCACCACACCTGCGGGGACAGCTCAGCGTGAGCAGGCCCTCCTGCCCCTCCAGGATGTGCTGGTGGCAGCCACACAGCACAGCAGGGGCCTGTCCTTCACTCGGCACAAGGATGCAGAGCAGGGGGAGCTGAGCCCGGGCTCCTGGAGACTGTGAGGCTGCTGCGGCTGGGACACCTCTGCTCTGTGCACGGAGCAGGGGGCACAGGCCCCTCGGTGTCTGGGCTCAGGTGTTCTCTGGTCTCATCTCATGTTTCCCAGCGGGGAGGGGGCCGGGGCAGCGACACGGAGAGTCTGACTCAGGGGAAACCAGAGAAGGCACCAGAGCATCCATGATGCTGGGCCAGTTCCAGGGATGATCCCAGACCCAGCCCTTCCCAACAGGTCAGGAATGGGGGAACCCGAACAAGATGCATGTGGAAAAGCTGGACCAATATTACTCTATCTCTCCCAGTCCCCCTCCTCATCACCAAAAAGCAAGGCCAGTATGCTGTTCCACAACCTCTGGATCAACCTGCAGAGGCCACCCTGCCCCACTGAGAGTCCCAGTGCCTTCTCCTTCCTCATCCACCTTGGACCATGTACCAGCAAAGGGCAGCTCCAGGCCAAGGCGATGCTCTGCAGTGCTCCCCTGTCTGTAGAGCCCCTCGTCCCACCCAAGAGCTGCACTGGGAATGAGGAAGAACCTGATCCAGCCCATAAGCAGGGAAAGTGATCCGCAGGGCCGGGGCCCCCAGGCCTCCGGGCAGGCACTGCCCATCAATATTAAGCAGTGAGGCTGCCCCGGGGTCCTGCCAAGGCACGTTCTGAACCTGGGCCAAGTGTTCACCTCGGCACAGTGCCAGGCAGTGCTGCCACACCACGGAGTCCTCTCAGCGGGGATCAGCTCCCTGTGCTGCCATATCCACTGCACAGGGAGCAGCAGCAAGGGTCAAGGCAAGAGCTGCAACATCCCGATGGGCTGTCCAAAGGAGCGAAGGGCTCCTCTCTGCCCTGCCAGACACACGTGGGGCTGACCCAAGGCTGGGAGCAGCCGGACACAAGGGCACCAGACCCAGCAGCCCACCCCAGGTCACAGAAATGGCTCCTGCCCAGGTTTCCTGTGCCCTGGTAAGGGAGAGGTGGGATATGCAAACCCCAGTGCCACCCCGTTCCCCACGTTTCCCCTTGACTCTGGAACACATCAGGTGAAAAGCAGAGCAACAACTTCCTGCTGTGCCGCCTTTGGGTGGCACATGTCCCTGTGCTGTCAGTGTGACAGCAGAAAGTGCTGCAGCAGCAGCAGATCCCTCCAAACAGAGCAGCTCCCTGCCCCTCGGACAGCTTCCTCCCCTACAACAGCTGCTGAGCAGAGAGCCCACAGAGGAGGAAACCAGCCCCAGGGCAGGACCCGGCTCTGTTCCCAGGCACCTGCCTGCAGACAGCAGCACAGCCGCAGGTGTGAGGCTCCAGCAGAGCCAGACACCCTCCCTAGCCCAGTGAGCCCTGGGGGCTCCAGCCCTCGGCCCTCCCCACATCCCAGTGGGGCACTGAGCAACCACCAGCATAACCAAGACCACAGCCCGGGAGGGAGGGAAACCTCAGATTCGGCCCTACCGCAGGCACTGCTCCTGCCAGAGCCACGCAACCCAGTGGCACCCTCCTGTGGCACCCTCCTGCGGCACCCAGCATCCGCAGCACAGAGGTAAAGCCGCTCTGTGGCACCCAACCCCATCACGCAAAGGCTGCCTACACCAACAGCACAAACCCTCAGCCACACTGCATCCAGCCCCACAACACCCGGATCCAGTGCCCCGCAGCACTCCGGCCCTTCCAGACCTACAGCATCCCCGGGGCGACAGATCCCACCCCTGCGGTGCCTGCCGGCCCGCCCAGCCCCCTGCAGGCCCGGTCCCCGCCCGGTCCCACCGCCCCGGAGCAGACCTGCCGCCCGCCGCCCGCCGCCCGCCGCCTCCATGCCCGCCGCCCGCCGCTCCACGGCCCCACGGGCAGCGCCCGCTGACCCGCGCACTGCGCCTGCGCGCCGAGCATGCCGGAACGCGGCAGCAGCCGGCGCTGGCATACAACTCCCAGCGGGCAGCGCGGTCACGGGTAGGGAAGGACCAATAGCTGCGCCGCTTAGATCGCAGTATTGACTCCGAGGACCAATAGGGTGAGGGTTTTCTCCAGGTGCGCTCCCGGACGCGAATATGGATACTCCGGAGCGGCTCTGTGTCCCCGGTGAGTGCGGGTGAGGAGACGGGGGCCTGGAGCTGCGGGGTGCCCAGGCCGGGGTGGCCCGGGGGAGGAGTATGGAGAGGCCGAGGCTGTGGGGAGGGGGTTGCCCCCCCCGGGGCAGCGCTGCCCCGCCGCGTTGGGCTGGCCGGGAGCGGGCATGGGCGGTGCGGGGCCTGGGCCGCCGGCGCGGGAGGTTCCCTGGCAGTGTGGGCTCGCCCCTTAGGCGAGCGGCTGTGCAGCGCGGAGGAGGCCACGGCTGGCAGCGGGACCTACACCCGGCACGGATTCATCTTCTCCTCGCTGGCTGGGTGTGTGGAGAAGACGAGCGAGGAGAACGGGGTGAGCACGGAGCGGCGCATGGAGCTCGGCCCCGGAGCCGGCTGCTGGGCACTGAGACCGCGCGGCCCCTTCCCATTGGGCTCCGATGGGATTTGGCCCGTGCCTGCCGTTATCCTGTGCCCCAAGCTAACCCTTGTGTCCACTGCCCTGCAGCTGCCCGTTGTGTCTGTGGTGAGAGACAGTGACCCCCAGCTCCTGCCCGACGTAGGAGTCGTGGTGACATGCAAGGTAGGGTGACAGAGTGCACTGTGGTGGCAAACTGCAGTCTTTGTTCACACGTTTGGGGTGAGATGAGGAGCCCCTCACCTCGTCAGAACCCTTTGCAGGAACCCCAGCAGGGCAGAGGGAGCCTGCTGGCACCATTGGGTCCCTTACTGTCAAAGGAGCCAGATATTGGCATGGGGGGGACACCTCCCTCGCAATGGTGCCTGCCTGAGGTGGGCTGAAGGGAAGTTTTCCTTTGCTCTCCCTTCCACAGCTTTCTGTATGGAGGGCAGTGCCTGGGACAGCTTGGAGAAAGGGTGGCACTGACCAGGCATTAGTTTGCCTATGGTGGGAGAGGGACTGGGATCACAGTAGGTCTCTGCCTTATTCACGTGTCTTGAGTTGAACAAGTATCGTCTTCCTCACTGGGCATCCTACCTCCACTGCTTGTTTGGTCACGAGGAGGAGGCAGAGTGAGACATGCGCTCCCCACATACAGGCCTGTCCTGCCTGCACCCTGCCCTTTCCCTGTTCCCCTGCTCTCCAGGGTGAGAGCAGGCTTTTGCTGGCACTGATTCCCATTTTCCTCCTGGCAGGTTTGCAGCATTAACTCTCGCTTTGCCAAGGTGCACATCCTGTACATCGGCTCCACACCACTGAAATCCATCTTCCGGGGGACCATACGGTAGGGAGAGGGATGGTTCCTCATGAGATGGGGTCCAAGTGTCCCATCCTTAGGGAGGGGGAAGGCTTTTCTGGGCAGTGCAGCAGCTGCCCTGGCAGGATCTTTGCCCTGAGCACTGGGCAGGAATCCAAGGTGTCCTGGGAGCACCCAGGGAGGCCTGGGCAGCTCCTGCTGCAGGCTGCAGAGTTGTCTTCACTTGCTGCCACTCAGATCCCTCTGTTTCCTTTTTCAGGAAAGAAGATATTCGAGCCACAGAGAAAGATAAGGTCAGTGAGGTGCTGCCTGTGGCTGTGCTGCTGCGGCTGCCCTGCTTTCTGCTGGTGGGGGGCACCTGTCCTGCTGCTGACAAGCACCCTGACACACTGAGCCTTTCTGCCTGCTCTCTCCCGTGCAGGTGGAAGTGTACAAGAGTTTCCGCCCTGGTGACATAGTCCTGGCCAAAGTCGTATCCTTTCCTCTTACTGCCAGGGACAGGGGGTTTGGAATCTCCTCTGGGGGGCCTTTCCCTTAACCCGTGTCTGACCAGATCTCGCTGGGGGACTCACAGTCCAACTACCTCCTGACCACAGCAGAGAATGAGCTGGGTGTGGTGGCAGCACGCAGCGATGCAGGTAGGGATATGGCAGTGCTGCTTCCTGTCTGCCTTTCCTTTCCTCCTCCCTTTCCACGTGGAGGAGCATGATTTCAGGAAGCGGAACCCTGACATGTGGCATCTCAGGGATGCAGATGGTGCCCATCAGCTGGTGTGAGATGCAGTGCCCACGGACACACACCAAGGAATTCCGTAAGGTGGCCCGCGTGCAGCCTGAGTTCCTGCAGACCTAGCAGCCGCGAGGGGACCTGCGGGATGAGGGGCTGTAGGGCCAGAGCAGCCCCGGCCCAGGGAGGTGCACCAGCCAGGCCCTTGCTGGCAGAATCAATTTTCAGATAATAAATATTTTTTGAGAGCTCTGTGCTCTGACCCCTTACAGCCCAGAGGTGTGGCTGGGGCTGCCAGAGGCTGCTCCGGCACTCATAGGGGAGCTGCTATGGGACAGCTTTCACAGTACCATGCCATGAAGATGCACGTGTTCCCAGCCCAGTGGTGCTGCTGCAGTGATGTGAACAACCCAGAGCTCTGGGCATTCACTTCACCAGGTTTCCACACACAGGGAGCAGCTCTCCTCCCTGCCCTACCCCAATAACTGGTGCGGGGCAGCTGTGCTCAGCCCAGGGCCCTGCGTATCCTCCTGCCCGTTGCCTCTGGGTGTGGCCTAAAACCACAGCATGAGGGCTGGGTGTCACCCTCGGGCGGGATTGCGGAGCTGAGCTTGGCTCCCAGCTGCTGCCTCACACACACGTGGTGCTGGACAGGGAGGGAGCCGCACCCACCCGGGCACAGCAATGCTCAGACTCCCCGTTATTGCGCATTACTCCTTTATTGAAGTGGAACAAGACAGCTGTTAACGTTGGACAGTTACAGCCCCCCCCCCCCCCGCCCCGTGGCCCCAGGCTTGTGGCATGGGCAGAGGGGGAGGCCACAGCAACAGGGCCACGTACACGCAGGTGAGGTGGGGACAGTGACATCTGCTTCACTAGCAGGACTGGGATGGGCTTCAGCTGGGGGAAGTATGTGGTGGGCACGAACCTCCGGGCGACAGGCTCCCTTGCCCTTGTCCAGAGGCAATAAGTTAAAGCAGGGGCTGGCAGGGCTACGTCCAGGGTCACAAGTACCACTTGCACCAAAACACAATCCCTTCAGCATCCACACATCCCAGTCCCAAACCCACAAGGGGATGGGGTCCCCACTTTGGTTGCTGCCTGCGCTGTGCTCACCCCACTGCTCCCAGGATGACTAAACCAAGCAACAGTAACCAGGGGACAAGAGCTGCCAGGAAGCAAAGCAGAGGAGCCTGGCACAGCAAGGGATCGCTCAGCACGTCCCCCTGCAGACAGGGCCCGAGGGCTGGGATCTTGGCAAGGAAAGATGTGTGGCTGCTGCCTGATAGAGCCAGCACTCCCTTTCACACAGCCCTCCACACACAGCCCCTCACCCCGAGCTGTCTGCAGAGGGGAGCCTGGTCCCGAGGGAATAGGGCTAATCCTGGGGAGCTGCTCCAGTTCTGCAGCTCCAAGTTCCTACAGCTGTGGGGGGTGTGCACAGAGGGGAGGAGGGGGCGGGGGCCTCTACTACTTAATAGCCTGCTGCCTGCTCTCACTTCTTGACCTTGCCCTGAGCAGCAACGGCCTCCATGGCCTTGCGCACTGTCTCCTCATCCCCCAGGAACTGCATGGGCTTGACAGGTTTCAGGTTCTTGTCCAGCTCATAGACAATGGGGATGCCAGTGGGCAGGTTCAGCTCCATGATGGCCTCTTCTGACATACCTGCAAACACAGATGGGCTGTTACTTGTGGCCCTGCTCGCACCAGGGGAGACCCTCGTGATACCCCTGCAGGGCTGATGTACCTTCCAGGTGCTTGACAATCCCACGCAGGCTGTTGCCATGGGCAGCAATAAGGACTCGCTTGCCCTCTTTGATCTGCGGGACGATTTCCTCATTCCAGAAAGGCAGAGCCCGGGCAATGGTGTCCTTCAAGCTCTCACATGTTGGCAGCTGGTCCTCTGTCAGGTCAGCATAGCGACGGTCCTGGGGAAAAAGCCACGATCATGCAGCAGCCCAGTGCACCCAAGCAGTGTGGGAAGGCAGTGGCAAGGCCTTTGTCCCTCCCCTAAATTCTCCACCTGAGCACCCACTAGACAGGCTTGGAAGCAAAGAAGCATGTTAGCAGCCTGAGGCTGCAATCAGGGCTGAGCCCCTCCCAGGGAAAGCCACATGTCGCTTGCTCTGGGCAAAGACACCAGAATAAACCTCCATGCACAGGTCATGGGAATAATCATTAACAGAGATATCATCCTTTCTGGTTTGAATCTGTCTGTGCAATGCCCAGGGGTTCAACTCCCCTGGGAAGGAGTGGGACGAACAGCCCAAAGCCAATGAGCATCATGCACAACCACCTGGCTGCTGCAACAGAGACAGAGGAGACTTTGTGGAGGAAGCCACATCACCCTGCAGGGGCCTAATGTGGCTTTTAGGAGCTTCCAGCAAGGCGGACTAAGAGCAGTGGGTCTTACCTTGGAGATGGTGCTGTAGAAGGGGTGATCGGACTGCATGGGAGGTGGAGGGATGTCATACGAGCGCCTCCAGATCTTCACCTGTGCCTCACCGTGCTTCGCCGCCGTCTCAGCCTTGTTCAATCCCGTGAGAGCCCCGTAGTGCCTCTCATTCAGGCGCCAGGTTCGGATAACGGGTAACCACATCTGATCGATGGCATCCAGGACGGTCCAGAGAGTGCGGATGGCCCGTTTCTGCACCGAGGTGAAGCAGATGTCGAACTCATAGCCGGCATCTGGAACAAGAAGGAACGGGGCGGGGGGGGGCGACACCGGGGAGGTTAGAGCCGGGCCTTACGCAACCAGCGAGGTGCCGAGCATGGCAGCCGCACCGCGCGGCTACCGGGCACGGGTGGCAGGGACGTGACCGGTAACGGAGAACCGCCCCCCCCGCCCCGTTACCTGATACTCCCCCTTCGGTACTAAAGTCCCGCCCCAGCACCAGAGAACACCCCCCCGGCATCGGAGGACCCCAAACCCTCCTCACGAGGCCCGAGGCGGCCGCACATCCCCACCCCTTAATCCACACATCACCCCCCCACACCCTCCCTCTTCCCCCGGTCACCGGTACCTCGGAGGGCCTCGCCGCCGCGCCGCGCCTCTTGCTGCCCGGCGGGGCTGAGATCGGCATCGTACCAGCCGCTGAAGCGGTTCTCCAGGTTCCACGCGCTCTCCCCGTGGCGGACGAGGACGAGGCGATAGGCGGCCATGGCGGAGCAGCGGCGAGGCGGGAGACAGGGGCGGGCTGATCGGTGTGCGCGCGCTCTCGCTCCCTCTCTCCTCACGCCGCTGCAGCGCGCGACCGACGCAGCCGGCCCAGCCCCGCCTCCTCCCCGAGCGGCGCATGCGCGAAGCTGGCGGTCAGGGGGAATCGCACGTAGCGTATGGCGGGGCCGCGAAGGGCGGTGCGACCTTCAGGGCGTGACGTCACCGCGCCATAGGGCGTACCCGGGAGCTCTCCGCGGCAGCTCCGGCAGGCTGCGGTACCCGGTGCGAAACGGTGTCACACCGGGGCACGTATCCGAGCCCTGACCCGCCTGACCGAGCTTCGCTTTCCTGGTCCCCCGCCTCAGTGGGAGGTGCCTGGTGCTGAGGGCAGCCGTGCCCTTACTCAAGATGGCGGCGGGCGCCGGAAGCGGAAGGGGATGTGTGCGTGGCGCGGCCGCACGTGGAGCCGGGTGCAGCATGGCGCGGGGTGGGCGTCTCCGGTCGGGTGCCGCCGCCAAGCTGAAGCGGTGGCGGAAGGGCCACAGCAGCGACAGCAACCCCGAAACGCGCCAGCACCGCCTGGCCGCCCGCAGTCGCTTCTGCAGCCGGCCCGCGGGTGAGCGCAGGCGCCGGGCGGGGAGCGGGGGCCCGCCTTCCCGGCGGGAGTGCAGGGACGCCTGGGGGGTGCGGGACGAGCCTTTAAGTCCGTGGTTCCCCATATCTGGGGTTGGGGTAGGAGGGACCAGGGCTGATCCCCGAGCTACAGCCTCAGGAGGCGGAGGCAGCAGACCGGGGAGGGGAACCGAGCCCACGGCGTTAACGAGCATGGCCTTGTTGCCTTCACCCCGACACCGGGCCGTGGAGTGAAACGGCACGGCATGCAGCGGTGCCTGTCGTTCTGCCAGGGCCCAGTGAGGGTCCTGCTCGCAGCTGGGATATGTGCTGTCCTGGCAGTGTGACCCTCCTCATGGCGGGAGCGATTCAGCTTCCAAAAACATTCTGCTGATACAGAAATGTGTCTTGTGGCATGCGCTGTCCTCTTGCAGCTGGTTGCAAGCTGGTGTGTGGGTCCCAGAGGGATGTGAAGTATATGCTATGGCTGTTTGGTTGCCAGGGTTCCAGGTAGAAGAAGATGAATGGGGCAGAATACAAGAGGCACCTCAGTGTTAAAGCCTTGGTATGGCAGGGCATGTTTGTGCAGACATAATGCTCTCCTTCATCAGAGAAGGTGGCTGGACTGTGCCCTGGCTTGTTTATATAGGAATGAGGAGCTCTCTCTAGTTATTGTGCTTTCTGCCATCAGGAGGAAGCAGCATCAGTGTCCCATACCCTGGAGATGAGCTCCAGCCAAGTGGGTCTGGCTGATGGGGGTTTTGGGGTGAACAGTGGAACAAGACAGCTTTGTTTTTCTGAATGCACCTCTTCCCCCGGCAGAGAAAAGTAACCTGACAGTGGATGCGGTGAAGCTGCACAATGAGCTGCAGTCGGGGTCCCTGCGTTTGGAGAGGACAAGTGGCAGTGCCCAGCTCCGTATGGAGGAGGATGGTGCTGCAGAAGCTGCGACAGAGAAGTCCTCTGGCACCTTCCTGAGCGGGTTGAGCGACTGCACCAACGCCACCTTCAGCAAGGTGCAGCGCTTCTGGGAATCTAACTCTGCTGCTCACAAAGAGGTATGGGCAGGAGCAGGGCTGGGGCAGGGGGGTCTGGTGGAGATGGCCCCCCAGGTGTGAGGCTGTGGGCACTAACTTGCTCTCTTTGCTGCTTGTAGATCTGCGCTGTGCTGGCAGCAGTGACAGAGGTGATCCGCTCGCGGGGAGGGAAGGAGACTGAGACAGAGTACTTTGCTGCACTGGTGAGTGGTGGCTGTGAGGAGGTGTGAGCAGAGCTGCTGTTGGCAGCGTGCGTGGGCTCTCAGTAGGGTTAGTGGAGGAAGGTGCTGTGCTCCTAGTTGAGGTCCTCCAGCAGAGATGCTTTTGGGCTGCTCCTGGGTTTTATTCCCCACTCCACAAGAGTTGGGGAAAGGCTGGCCTGGTATGAAGTCCTGC